TTCAGGACCCCAGACTGGGCCCCAGTACCTACTCCAAAGGTAAGCAGACCTGACATGGGGGCGTCTAGCAGAATGATCCTGTTCCCCAGAGGGGCAGAACAGGGAGGGGGGGATCGAGAGGTCGTGGGTTCTCGGCTCCTCACACAATTCCCAAAGCCCAGGAGGCCTCAGCCACTGCTCCAGACTCACCATGGAGACCTCGGGGCCTGCTTCCTAGCTGGAGCCTCCCCAGGACTTTGTAACAACCAGGCCTAACCCAAGAAAACTGCCCCTATGCTCACCCCACCCCCAGGCCCTGTCCCGTCCAGAGTGCCTAGAGTGTGGGAAGGGGAGGCAGGGGCGGAACCTGACGATCTCACTCAGCCCAGTGGGTCCATTCTCCTAGCCTGGACCACAGCTCAGCAGGTCTCGCTGCCCAGACCCTCCCCACGCCCTGTTCTGGAGATGCGGTCACCAATGACAGCAGCGCCACACCCAGCGCTTCCTTCTGGGAGAAGGTGGGGTGACGTCAGAGGCTCCTGAAACACTCTGCAGCCTGGGGCTCTGCAAGCCCAAACCTGACCTTGTGTCCATCTGGGACACTCCCCAGAGATGGGACACCAGGGCCCGGGATAGTTCCCTGGGCAGCAGGGATGCTGAGAAGGTACTGGAGAGAAAAGCCAATGCTGTCCCTGTGCCCCTGCCATGGGACTGAAACAGTCAAGTCCCCAACCAGGCCAGGCCAGGCCCTGGGTATCAGAGGCCACCGCAGTGGCATGGAAACAACAGTGCGAGTCCTCCTGAGGACTCCGTGTGCCCAGCACATGCCAGGGGTGGACGAGCTCATCTCCACCTCCCCATGTCCCATCCACCCAAATGTGGCCACAGGAAGTGCAGGGTAGTCCCAAGTGGGAAAGATGGTGAATTCAACATCATTGTGATGCGACAGTTCCCAACACTTTTAAGAGATCGATGATGGCCGAGAGTGGTCCCAGAGCAGGACTGGCAGCCTCTGCTGTTCCTGCTGCTCCCATCACGTGGTACCCCAACCCCCATCTTTCCTGATGCTTCCCATGTCCAGAAAATGCCCTGCCTTACAGCCTGAGCTCTGGATTTGAAACTGTTATATTGTGGAACTCTGGGACAAAGAGCTGAGAGGACCTTCAGCTCTTGCTACCCCTCTGGTCTGTCTGCACAGACTGTCCCTTCTGTCTGGTCCCACTAATGGTCACCTGCTCTTACATGCACTCCTGGACCAGGCATGGACCCCTCCCATCTGCACAGGCTGTGCACAGAGCAGGTGCCCAGGCTCTGGGCTTCAGATCTGATCAAGCCAGGTAGTGCTCACGACCCCCGTGCTTGACGCAGAACTCTCCGGGGCAGCAGGAGCAGAGGCAGGCCATGCCCACGAGTCCTGCGTCACAGCCATAAGACTTCACAGACACCCTAATGCATGACTTTGTCTTGGCTTCTCAGACCCTCCCCACTTTCAAAGATGAACTCACTGAGGCCAAGAGAGGCCCATACACAAAGTCTCTTCACAGCAAAGAGGGTCAGGGCTGGAAGCCAGGTCCCGAAGCCCTAACCCACCTGGCTGTACTCCCCCTAACCCCACGGCTGGCACACAGTGGGCTCACTGTCAAGGCTGGCTGGGTGAGTCTCAGGGGAGGACCCGTGGGCCTGGCACCATGACTCAGCTGATGAGTGGAGTGATAAATACATCCGCCTTCCCCACTGCCCCAACCTGC